TAAAACTATAGTCTCTTCTAATGCCTTAACATCAGCTTTAATTAATCTTTGGTTTAAATTCCAATTCTAGCCCAACATACAACTGTTACTTGCACATGTCACTTACTTGCAGAATCGCCTTGTTGGACTGGGAATAGGACTTGGAGGTAACCCATTACTGCTCACAAACATTTGCAATGATGGTGAAAAACATTGCTGCAGAAAAAAAGGCACATTAACACACCTGAGAATTTCCTTCAAAACACTCAGATGTTCCACCCCACCCTCCAAGCCCCACTCAAAGAAAAGCTAGCAACCGAACTAGGCAGAGATGATCAAACACAACCTTGGAAACATTTAAAACTTAACTTGCAAAAACGTAACGGCTTGTGCAATTCTGCTCAGATTAACCTAAAACTGAAACCCACAAGAAACTTGAACTTGAAATAGATGTTGTTTCTCTTCTTTGTCACACTTAGAAGCAGCAGTACAGTAGTCAAGACTTACCCCTTTCAAGGGGCTTGTTAAACAAATAGAAATTACTCAAAGTACATCTGGTCTGCAAACTGACAATATTCCAGAGTAGAACAGGATATTTAGCTCTGTGGTTCTGCAGCTAATTTGAGCTTAGCCTATGACTGCTCCCAGCTCATCACAAAAATCTTTCTGTCAAGTTATCTACTACTGCTTTACAGCTGATTCCAAAGGCACAGGACCAGCTGCCAGCACCAGCATTATCCCAGGAACACATTTACCCACCACGAGTATGTGGTTGCTCCGTGCAGCAACACTGGTAGGGGCCTGCAGGAAAATACTGCAGTACAAAAGCAGAACCACAAAAGGGAGTGAAAATAAGGTCACCTTCAAACATAAATATCAGTTTCTCCGTGCTACCTCTTTCTCCAGCATCTGCCATCAGTTTTTGGTGCAAGTTCAGCACACCCGAGTCCTCCTTCACAGTGTGTTTGTGCCTTCCTTTCCATAACTGAGGGACACATTTTCATCCCTACCACCACACAGATTTGCAGTCTTCACCTACTCTTACTGTATATGATGACACATTCCAATTTTGGTACTTCTTCCCCAACATCCCCCCACTTCTGCAGCTGAAGATCATGTCCATGATTACTTTCATGACCTCTTCCAGCTCCCCTAGAACTCCAACACATCCAAACACTGCACAAACAGTAGTAACTGAAAACATCCACTGTTTTCCTGACTAAACTCTGCAAGGTCCAAGATGGGTCACCATCTGATTCTTAGAAACCAATAAAATGTGGGTTTGGGGTTTTTGGTGCTTACTTGGTTGTGTTGTTTGTTTGGGTTTTTTTAAACTATGAAACAATTTGTGAAGTTACACATCTTCACAGTTCAGCTTGGTCTGGAGTTCTGAAATATTGTTTCAGTTTGGTTATTTCACTCGTCCTACCTTCCCTATTCCTCTTGTAGGTGAAGGTGCAGGTGAAACTGGAATGAAGTCAATTCTCTTTGGGGAAAAAGATTTCTCAGACTTGTCCAAGTCATTGTCGCTCTGTGAACACAAGGTTTCAGATTTAACACCAGCACAGGATATCACCTTGAAATCCAAGGCACAACCTTGTAATGGAAAGTCATTGGGTCAAATGCACAAAATAGCTAAAGCAGGTGAGCTTAAATTCTTCTTAAATTATTTTCACAGTTAATTCCTCTCTTTCCCTTAAATTCATCAGTTAAGTGTGAAAGTAGAATTAAATAGGAAACATCTATAAAGAGATTACCAGGCTCAAGCTTTCCTCCCATGACTGGCTTATCTGCATTGCTGTTTGCACTTCCCTAGAATACAAAAAACCCCATCAGTAGCTACAAAAAGGATAACTCTGGCTATTTTATCACGTTCTTTCAATAACACTCACCTTTCATGTGCTGCTTCTCTGTTCATTAAATCCACTCCTTCCTCCTGCAGGAAATAAATGTCCTAAGTTTCCCCATAACATTTGATTCATCACAGGCACTTGAAATAACACTTGTGATTCAGTGATTTGCCATCACAATTGAAATATGAACAGTAGAACCACTATAAAAAGACAAGACTGCCAGCAGTCCAGCTCACTGCTTCTCTTAAATGAAACACTTCAAAAATGCAAGGCAGCTTAAACGTAACAATAAGCCTTGCAAGGACACTTCCCTTGTTGAAATGAAGTCTTGAAAATACAGTTTTCTTTAGTACTTGACAAACTCGATAGGAAAGAAACTCCCACTATATAAGTACTTCAATATTATATAGTACTTTTCATTCTGTTACTAAATACACAGATAAAAACTTACCCTTCTGATCTGATGAAGTCGGCTGCTAGGAATACGAATGGGAGATGATGACAAGAACTGGAAAAAGAAAAAGTGACAGCCACAATGATTAAATCACACTTCAACTGCTTGCATATATAGTATTTACCATTAACTACAGTCTTAGTGAGTTAAAAATGAGCTGTACAACTACCTGTGGATGACTCAAACAATGTTGCAAAAAGCAAACACTGACCTTCAAGAGAAAAGACTTGTTTTACCACTTACAAATTCCTTGTATCACTCAACAAGCAGCACAGAACTGACTTGCAGGCAGATACTGCTCAACATCCCAAGTACACAAATAGCTACAGATGCCACTCAAACAAGTGAGATACTACAAATGAAACTATGATCTTTACACAATTCCTCACTGCCCAGAGTAAGATGACAAACCCCTGAAGAACCTTTCTCACCCAGCTCTCTGTTATAAAAGAGAAACCTCAGTGTTTCAGCTCAGTCTTGAACAACACTCCCTAAAGCTTTGCTTTCTGCCATTTTATGCATCTAATTTCTCTGGAACTCTGACTCCATCACATACAAATGGGCCAATAGTTCCCACTCAGGACATCCATGTGTCCATTGCCACATCTACCAGTCTGAGCTCCAAAATTCTGGATTCTTATTTTAAAGAAATCTCACAGCAGAAGATTTTGAATCCCATCTCGCCTTTTCTGAACAGAAGGCATAGAAAAAACTTATTTAGGGACTTTAAGTTCTACAGGTTTTGAGAAAAGCAATACTTAACCTTCATTACCCTTAGATGAGACAGAAAAATTTCAGTGAAAAGCACATACAGATCACTGAGTTGAGAAGGAAAAGGTGAAAAAAAAAGCAACATCTTTGAAATGTTAAACAACTGTAGCTCTGTACACTACCAGACTTACAACAGAGAGCAATAAATAAATTACTCTTCTTTAAATGATTTTCTGAGATCTAGTGTTCAGCCTTTGCAAAAAAAAAAAAAAAAAGCACCATGTCAAACAAGCAGATCAGCGAAAAACTGTGACTCTTTCTTCCATTTTCACAACAAATTAAAACACCCTTTCAAGACTTTTAACTGTGAAAACAGTTTTCTCTTCTAACCCAGTCAGGTCTAAACTAACCTAAAGACTGTACTTAATACTGGGAATCACATGTAGCTTCAGCTATTGTTGTCTTCCTGGGTGGACACAGTTAACACACCAGTATTATTTCATTGCAGTTGCAGTTACAGGTGAAAAAATGCTTATTCTGCAGCCTGGAAGCTCGTTGGGATACACAGTGCAAATGATCAAGTTCAACTTCATTTCTCTACTCCGATTACTCCTTGTTGTGTGCAAGCTGACATGCTTAAGATTCCTCACCATTCCATGACGGCTCATAACTGTTGTGCTGTTCCTGCGAGTCCGCAACACGTAAGGCTGGAACACCTGCGAGTTGTCACTGCAGGGGGGAAAAAAAAAAAGTCTGGTGAACAAAACTCTCTCGAGGTGCGCTTTGCTTAGAGCTCCGCTGCGCCGTGACACGCGCTGCGGCCTGAAAACAAGCTTTCCTTTGAAGAAGAGCACCGCTGCTACCGGGGGAGCATCTTCACCGAGCCGGGGGGGACAGGGGGGCACACTGTGTCCGAGGAACAGGGGGCACGTCCCGGAGGCCGCTCGGGGAGAGCCAGGCCTGCCGAAGGCCCACAGCGAGGCCTGGGGCTCGCTCAGCCCGTCCGGGCTCCTCCCTGGAGCCCCCCGGGCCCCTCACCTGAGCCCATGGATCAGTGGGGCGCTGTTCGACCTCCTCAGGCCGCCGCCGTCGCCCGGGCCCGCGGCGCTCCCGGGCGGCAGTTCCAGGTCCAGCTCCATCTTCTCCTGAGCCATCGCGGCGGCGGCGGCTCCGGCTCCTCCCGCCCCGCCGCGGCGCCCATTCACCGCGGGCGGCCGCCGCGGCTCCTCAGGCCGCCGCTGCCCCGGCCCTACAGGCCCCGCGGGCGGCGCCGCGGGCTCAGCCCGGGGGCGCGCCGGGCCCGGCGGGGGGGGCGGTCGCAGCAGCGCCGCATCCCGGGGGCGACCCGGGGGCGGCCGATTGCTCCTGCAGCAGCAGCAGCAGCGGCCGGTGGCGGTGCCGGCGCGGACGGCTCTGGGGGCGCTCCCGCTGCCTCCCTCGGTACCGATCGCGCTCCGCACCCACCGCCGCGCACTGCGCGTGCGCGGGCAAGAGCTGAGCAGGCAGGGGCCACCCGGCCTCGCGCGGCGCACGCGCGGTGGCTCCGCGCCCCGGCGGCGGGCGGGCTCCCGGCGGCCCCCGCGGGCGACGCGCGCGCTGATTGGCCGCCGGGCCGTGCGTGCGTGTGTTTGAAACGGCGCAACGGTCGCTAGGACGCGCGCACCGCCTCCGGGGGCGGGGCCCGGGCTGACGGGGGACCTCGGTTCGAGTCCCGCCGCGGTCACATTCCAGCCGAGCCTGTTCCGGCAGACTTTTCTCTCCTTAGCAGAGAAAAGACTTTGCGACCCTCTTCAGGGCTTAAATCGCACAGTCTTTCCCAATGTCCTCCCTAGCCTTCCTTTGCCGCTGAAGCACATACTGCGGCTTTGATGCACAATGAGCGTGTGAGCATCTGGCATAAAATTCATTATAAGATATGTGATTCTAGTTCTTGGCTCTATTCAAGTTTGTGACTGACCCTGGCAATTTGATTCTGAATGACCAGAACATCAAAGTTTGTGCTTACTGATTTTTATTTTATAATATTTTTCTACAATAACAATTGCAACGTACACATTTGTCTCCTACATGTCTCTTCATTTTCTCCTGGGAAATCATTCTTTTTCCAGAGTGCTGGGTACAGAAATAGTTAAGACAGAAAAGTTAGGATTTTTCATCACTTCAACTTCCTTAAGTGGGAATATGGCTATACAAATTATTATCTTACTTCTAAATAGTTGAAGGTAGGTGCTCCTAGATAACCCAGTAGAACTCTTGTTCCTGTAGCTATTTGTTATGGTACCTCCTTGCATTTTTTGTTAATCAAGACTGATCTGTGTGTATTCCCTTTTTCTACCTTCAGAGACTCTGTATGTGTCTCATAACTGTTTTCATGGATGCCCACATTTCTTTCACTGAACTGATACTATTAATGAAAAACTTTGTGCCTATATACCTGATATGAGTTAAAGGACCCACAAGATTACCTTTAAATACTTACAGGATTTTTCAGCCACACTTTTAATACAGAACCGGCACCATTCTCATTGTCTAGTGCTTCAACACAAACATTTCATAGCTTGGAAGAGCTTCCATACTTTCACTTTCCATGGCTGGAATTGCCTAAACAGCAATTCAGGTGACAGTATCTAGCAAAACATCTAGCCCTGAATGAAAATCTACTCACACCGATGGTGGTTCTGTTAATAGAAAAGCCACCTGCAGAATCTGACTACATCCACTACTGTGGATTTTGCTATTTATTGTTACTGTGGAGTTATTATTTTATATCGTTGCCACTAAGGACAGTAAACAGCTTCAAATGCCATGTACCAAGACAACGTTAAGGAAAAGGTCAGTAATATCCAAAACGTGTCTGAGAGCTAAATAACATCTGCTCCATGTGCTCAGATTTTCCAGTGCCAGTCTCATCATCCTCCTGTCCGACCAGGGTTTACTATAGCCAAGAGAATCTCAGTGGAAACATGTATACAAGAAAAAGTGGGAACTGCCAAGGTGACCCTCAAATGGCTGAGGAGAGTAACGAGGCAGAGAAAAGGGGAGGTGTCTGCAAGAGAGTTGTGCTATGGAACAGAAGGATGGAAATGAGGAAATCACAAGTTGTTGAGTTAGAAAAACAGCGTAAATGACCTTGGCAAGAGGGATTAACAAAGGAGAGAACACGTTAAACAGAGCCTTGGGAGGATACAGGTGAAGGATGGAGATTCAAAGTGGGGAAATGGGGACTGGGAGAATGAGATAGGTGGGTAAAGTGACAGAGAGACTGGTGAACATGAAGGTGTGGGTGATGATGTAGGAGATATTTGATAGTGTCAGGGAAAATATCCCTGTTGGCAAAATAAACACAGTCACAGTTACAAAAAGCCATCAGCCTCAGATAAATTAGTAAGCATAGGACCCATGAACAAAAGTATTTTTTCTCTCTATAATCTATCTTTCTTCTCTGATTATTTCTGTTCTTAAGGACTGCCTGAAACTCTCACCTGGAATATAATAGATGAAGAGATGGAGTGCCCTCCCTACAAGGAAAGGCTGAGATGATTGGGATTGTTCAGCCCGGAGAAGAGAAGGCTTTGGGGTGTCATAATTGCAGTCTTCCAGTACCTGCAGGGAACCTGAAGGAAAGACAGAGAGAGACCATTACAAGAGCATGGAGTGACAGAACAAGGGGAAAATTCCTTAAAACTAAAAGAGAGTAGGTTTATATTAGATATTAGGAGAAGTTCTTCCCTGTGAGGGTGGTGAGGACCCAGCACAGGCTGCCCAGAGAAGCTGTGGATGTCCCATCTTTGGAAATGTTCAAGGCCAGGTTGGATGAGACTTGGAGCAACCAGGTCTAGTGGAAGGTGTCCCTTCCCATGGCAGGGGAGTGGGATGAAATGAGCTATGATTGATTGCCCTATTAAGGCAAACCACAAGGACTCCTCACTTCTTTCCAAGCGTTAAGATCCTCAGCACCAACGAGCACCATTGATCTCCCGAACTGTATCACCACAACCTCCTCTAGGTACAAACTAGGGACACATCAGCTATCAAAAGTATTTTGAAAATTGTTTGGGTTTTTTTCTTCTCCATTCCTAGAGTTGTCTGGGCCTGCACAGAGCCACCCGCTCTGTTATTTCCGAGAGCGGCAAAGGCTCGGTGTGAACTCAAAGACGATATTTGATGCATTTAAAGGTCAGCGCTGCAGCCCTTACGAGAGAGCGCTGGGAGACACATTTTATACCCTTAAAAACCCCTCATAGCTGTGACTCCGAGCGCGGCCGGAGCGCTGCGCCTGCGCCCTGCGGCCGGGCCCGCCCGCGCTGGGGCCGAGCGGGGAGAGCGGCCCGGGGGCCGGGGATCGGTATCGGGATCAGGACGGGAACGGGGCCGCCCCCGCACCCCCGGGATGCGGCTTTGCCACTGCGGCCGCCCCGGCGCCCCCGGGCTCGGCAGGGCCGGGGCAGCTCCGTCCTGAGGAGCCGCGGCGGTGAATGGGCGGAGCGGGAGGAGCCGGAGCCGGCGCCGCGATGGCTCAGGAGAAGATGGAGCTGGACCTGGAGCTGCCGCCGGGGAGCGCCGCGGGCCCGGGCGACGGCGGCGGCCTGAGGAGGTCGAACAGCGCCCCGCTGATCCATGGGCTCAGGTGAGGGGCCCGGGGGGCTCCGGGGAGGAGCCCGGACGGGCTCCGCGCCCGTCCCGGCCGGGCACAGCCCCGGGGATGCTCCGGGGGTGCTCCGCGGCGCCCTGGGGAAAAGTGGGTTCCTGAGCGCTGTCCCGAGCGGGGAAGGGTTTAGGCAAGGCATCCAAGTGTGGAGAGGTGCGAGGAAGTCTAGGGAGACGTGCTGTGGCTTTACTAAAACGCTTTGTTTTCGTGCAGGTCTGCTGTGCGTTGTGTAGCTGAGAAGCAGCACGCTGGTCCGCAGCGTGGAGGTTGTGGCCGTTCTTGTGGATAGAATAACAATCGCGGTGATTTCTGTAATGGCTCGAGTCTGAACAAATTAAATCAATGCCCTGTGTATGATATACAACAGTAAATGCTTTCAGAGCAACCAGGCAGTTTCGACGAGGAAGGTCATTTCATGGGACCCTGACCTAAGTTTTACATTTAGTGTAAAACAGTGTATCAGGTGTCCAGGAATTTTTCTGGACGATACTAATTTTTTCAGTATGTATTACTGGGAGAAAGACAAGGCGTTGTGTGGGCAACTGTGCTTGGATATTGCCATCGGCCTGTGGCAGGTGCTGTTTGCAGGGAGGGTTGGATGTTTGCCAGGTCTTCATCTGACAGGACAGAAAGCGGCAGTTCCAGGCAGGGGCCAGGGAAAAAGCTCTCAGTTAGGGAGGGTCTCCTGTACAGTTTCTGTTTGGGTAAGTTTGTAACTCAGAGTGCTGTTTCTTGTCTCCTGTGGGCTGTTGTGAAGTTGGGAGATGCCCCCTCTGCTACATGGTTACCATAAGACTGTAAGGCGGTCCATGTGCTCCTGCTAATACTGTGTCTGCAATTTGGGAGGGAATATCTGCAATAAACTTCATAAAACATGGTATATTACATGATAAGCACTTCCTGGTGGTTTGTTTTTTTTTTCTTCGTGTTTTCTGTAGGGAACTGGATATCAAGTGACGAAGAAATCTCACATCTCTTGTACCAGAATGGTTAACTGTGCCTGACAGTTCTGAGGAAATACTAATTTTTGCCTATTCCATTACGATTTAATGTTAAGTAAACGTAATTGTGGTTCTTTTGCATAATCATAATGAAATAACCCCCATTTTACATTTCAAAGCAGTATGGAAGTGCTGTGTATGGCAGTTCTCCTCAGGGAGGTTTCTGAGCAGGTAAACTAATTGTGTAACTGGGACATAGATGTTTTTATAATCTCAACCTTTTGTAAGTTGTTTCTTACAAACTGTAAGACCCGTGACTTTTAAAAAACTCAAATTATTTAATTCAGGGTTTGGTCAGGTAGAAAGATAAGCCTGAGCTCTTGCCTTGAAACTGTGCATGTACTGTATGTTAGGTGTTCATACAAATTAAACTGAAATGCCATTGAACTAATTTGAGGTGGTTGCAGTGGTTTGCCTGTTAGTTTGGAATTTTCCATCAGAATACTGTTTTTGCAAGATTGCAGCTCTTGGCAAGAAACTTCAGTTTTTTCCCAGAATGGCTTTGTTGGGTAAACTGAAACAAAAGCTCTTGCTCTTGCACAGCTTTCTTTTTCTCCTCTGCCTCCTGTTTAACTTCTTCATTAACAGAATTAGTAAGGAACTTGGAGGATGAGTTGCCATAGAGCCAGAGAATAGTTTTAAACGGAATATTTTAAATCATGGAAGTTACCTTTCACAGAACTTTTAAGTCTTGTTTTTGTGCCAAATAAAATTGATTTTTAATAGGAACTGTAGGAGTTTTCTGTGAAAGGTAAGCCTGAGATCTGACCAGCTCTGATGTTTTTGCAAGGGAGGTTAAAGGTAAGGATATCTGTAGGGTTTTTTCTCTTCCTCTCTGCTAGTTAGCACTGAGTATTGGACTCAGCCTATGGAAATGTGGTGCAGAATCGTTCCAACCTGTTTTCTTGACTCAGGCTCTGGATCTCAGGACGTGCTGTTTGTGTTGTGTTTGCATGCCAACCAGTACACTTACACTGAAAAGAATTTGTAGCTGTTGGCCTCAGTCAGTAAATCTCATCTCTAAACATCATGTCACGGATCCCTTCAATTTCTCCAGTTCCACCTCCTGTCAAATGGTAACAAATAATGGCTCGTGGGTGTGAGCTGAATGAAACTTCTGGGAAAATTGTAAATGATGTCTGGTCCTGTGTACTCGATGCTTTAGAGAAGGAGAGTCAATGCATTTTTCTTGGCAAAAAGTACAGTGCTTATGCCAATTGTGGTTGGCTTTTATTTCACAGTATAAGCTTTGTTTGTTTTTTATTTACAGCTAGATAAAATCTGTCTAAAACATATGTGTCTAACTGGTGTGTTTTAAACCGGAGGATTCTGATAATGATGTGTCTTAAAAGTGCATTATTATCAGTCCTTAGAACAAGGTCACTGTTGATCAGGTTAGTTTTAAGAAATTGTATTTGTGGGGGGCTTTTGTTCATCCCAAGTTAGCAGCTGAAACAAAAAGATACAACCCAGTGAGTTCTTGTAATTTGGATGTATTTACAGTCTTACATTTGGATCCGTTCACCTGTGCAGTTCCTCACTGATTTTTGAGCATGGAGATTGTAGGATTGTGGCTCAAAATTTATTCAGCAACCATGAAGGTTACTTAATTTCTACAGTTGCATTCATTAAGTGCTGATCATTGGCTGTTGATAACACTAGTGATGACATGACCAGTGAAATTTGCTTTAGGAATCAATAGAACTAAAGTTTCCTTGAGAAAGGAGCTCATTTTATATAAAATAAATAATTGTACACTATTTCAGTGAATGCTGTGGGGCTTTAAAAACTGATTTCACTGTATGTTTAATTTAACTTTTCCTGGAAAAAAGTTTAGAACTTATTAAATGTCATAGTGGTAAGATGTATCACGATACTGTATTTTTAAATTCTGTTTTACCTATGGGATTGAAGCTGGTTTCAGTTACAAGCCATTTATACATTTGTTCTGTTGAATGACATTCAAAGCAGTGTACAAACTGCAGCCATTCCAAACATCAGAAATTCCCACAGAAATGAGCAGTCTAAACAATTTTTCAGTTGTTCTGCAGACTCAATATGATTAATTAAAATCATTAATTGAAGTAGCTGGGAACTGGAGGATGAACAATTTGATTTACACTCTCTGCCAACAAGCTATAAGAGTTCTTACACCTGTCTCTGGAGTGCTTTGTCTTGACATGACAGCTGTCACAGCATTGGAAACTGAGCTTATATTAAGAGGTACTTTTTGATAGGGAGGAAATGGCTTTTGCATTTGACAAATGTTTCTTTTCACAGCGATAATTCACAGGTGTTCCAGGCCAACGTCTTGCGAACCCGCAGGAACAGCACCACGGTCATGAATCGGCACAGCCCGGTAAGAAAACTGTCAGACCAACCCCACTCTGTGCAAAGCAGAAGCGTGCAAACAGCAGTAAACAAAATTAGATTGTAGTCTGTGAGACTAACACCACGTGCTTTCAGAAACAAGGCTCTGGGCTGTGACATTAACACGCCGTAGCCAGACCATACTTGTCATTGTGATCGTAGCTTTGCTTATAAAATGCAAGCAGATGCTCTAGGATAGAGTAAGAAAGGTAGTTTGCAATGAAAACTGATTACGTAGCTGTACTGTTGATCAGTAATCTGTGTTAATGATTTCTGATGCTTAAGGAAAAAAGGGCAGTGATGCTCTGATCTTAAATAGTCTTTTATATAGAAATGACAGAATAGACTGTTCTAATTCACAACTGCAATAACAAGTTAGAACTGGCTGACAGGACATTAATCTCAAGACTTCCAGAATGAATGATGCCGTGTCTCTGAGACATTCATTTGTGATTTCAGCTTTTGTCAGACTTCTGGTGTTACAGCTCCTCAGATCTGAATTTTTAAAATACTAATCTAAACCCATGGTGCTTCAACCCAGACAAAATGTTGCGTATTTTGTGTTTTAGTATCATGCAGAGTTTTGGTAGAAGGGTGTAATTTTGACTGATTTAGAACACCTGTACATGATCACAGCAAGTTCACTTATGGGCTGGCTCTTCTGGCTACCCCAATAGATGTTCCAGTCTTCTGGACCAAACCAGTGTTCCCACCTTCATGGGATGATGTTCTTGACCCTTCCCTTGTCATTAAAAAGTGTCCTGAAAGTTAACTTTCTTCTTCACTCCCAGCTAACCAGGTGCTGACAAAATACAGTTGAAATTTTACTTATGCCTCATTGATCAGTGCCTTGTCTGCTTTGAGATATTCCATGGAGTTATGGTCTGGTTTGTGGTTTTGTTGAAGATTGCAAGGAGGATGGAATTGGAAAGCCTTGGGATTCTCATCCTTATGTGATCTTAAACCAGGATCATCCACAGATAAATGACTTTGTGAAAATAATTTAACTTTCAGCACTAAGGACCCTAAGCAACCTCCCCTGGTATTCCTGCTGTAGCAAGGAAGTACATGTAGTTTTATGATGTTAGAGATATTCTAAGGAGTTAGATCACATCTAATTTGGTAAATTAAATTTTACATTAAGTAAGTGATAAAGGTACTTCAAAACCCTTAATTAACCTAAATAACCCTAAATTAACCCTGTGTTAATTTAGTATTATAAGTACAGATACAGTTTTATGTTTTGTAAACTTTGTGGAAGAAAGTTGATTAGTACTTATCTACTCTGTGTTCACTGTCATAGGAGCAG